GGAGTGAACCAGTGAGAGTGAGTGAAGGAGACTGATCTAGATTTCAGAGGAGCATGGATGTCCAGGAGAGTATGGGGATTTTGATTGTAGTGGGAAACCAGTTCATCAGGTGAGCAGCAGGCAGATACACTGGGAATATTACTGATGTCAGAGGTGAAGGCGTCAATGTTGATGTCCTTTACATTCCGGAAGGAGATGATGCGAGGGAGGGTGATTTTAGACAGGGGGAGCTTAACGTTAAAAGTAATGAGCATGTAATCGGAAAAAGCAAGGGTATGGGATTTACAGTCAGAGGGGGTGATGCCAGAACAACAGACTAAATCTAGAATATGGTTTTTACAGTGAGTTGTGAAGTTGATGTAGACCAAAGCTTTCCAGGCAGGATGAGAAGTCTATGGAGAGAGAAGCACTGATATTCTCCATGTGAATGTTGAAATCTCCCAAAATAATCAGATTATGGGAGAGGGTTTTAACGAAATATAGGTATAGTGTCGTTACATTATCATTCAGTTATTGGGTTAAAACTGAAAATGTAACACTTATTAGTGCGATCTGGACTAAGAGTATCCCACATTCTAGATTTTTGGCACATAAACACCTCTTATAAAAACAAGCACCTGCTGAAATTTTGAAGCTGTTAGCTCTTTCAATGTAAAAAAATACAGGGGGATACGAAAAATATCGGGGTCAGCCTGCCAAAATATGTATCCCCTTCTATAATGGACTTAGAGTATCCCACATTCTAGATTTTTTGCACATAAACACCTCTTATAAACACAAGCACCTCCTGAAAATTTGAAGCTGTTAGCTCTTTCAATGTAAAAACTACAGGGGGATATGAAAAATATTGGGGTCATCCTGCCAAAATATGTATCCCCTTCTAAAATGGACTTAGAGGCTGCGTCTCAATTTGCAGGCTGCGTATTTCGGAGGACGTATTTTTAGTCCGGTGACATCACAACGCTGCGCGGAGGCCGTCACATTTGGCAAAAATTCTGAGGACGCTTAAAATGTAGCCTTAAAATGCGTCCTCCTTTTCCCCGAATTCTGAGGATGCATCGCTACCGTCCTTAGTGGCCTCGCCTCCCAATAGATTTCCCGAGGTGCTTTGCGCGGCTTTTTTTTTTTTTTGAAGTAGTTGAAGAAGAAGAAGAAAAAAGTCGGATTTTCTTCAAGTTACGGATAACGGAAAGCAGCAGCAGCGCCGGCAGTAGTGCGGAGAACACCTTTTAATGTAAGTAGTTTGTTTTTGTTTTTTTATCTGAATATTTATTGAAATACATGATGGTAACGGAGCCACCGGGATGTGTAGGAGTAGCTAAAGCTAAAGCTTAAAGCTAACCTGTTGATACGTGATGTTCATCAACATATTAAAAGCCTTCATACAAATATCGCAATTTTTTATTTTAACCTAGAACCTATATCCCTCACAAATCGCATCTATTTATTCTCATAAAGTTTATTACTCAGGATTAGAACTGTTAAAGCTTAATGCAGCTGAAGAAATAACATTAGTCCAGGTGTACTGGGCTGTTAATACTGCAAACATTTTGTTTTAATACTCAATAATGTATAGTTAATTTACAGTACAGTATAATACGGTTTAAACTATAATTCGCTTGAAGAACAATTTGCCAACGTAATTATTGTCATGTTTGGTTTCAGGTTCCTAACCCACGTGCAGAACACTCATCAGACAGGGAAAAAGTTCAAAGGTTTATTTAGAGTTTGTACAATAAAACAGATCAGGGGGTTATCAGATCCTGGACAGGTCACGACTGGGTTCACTGCAGAGGTGGACAGAGGAGTTAGCTGAAGTCCAGGTAATTTGCAGAGTTTGAGAGTGCAGGTCTGTACCTGATCTGATGTTTGAGCTGAGCGGCAGAGAGGGGGAACCAGGAGGGTCCAGAGGCTGTCGGCAGGCTGAGAGCTTGGCGGAGGCAGAGCTTGGTTTGAGAGTTTGCAGGCAACAGACTTGAATTTCCCTTTTAGATTCTTCAGAGAGCGGGCAGGCAGGTCTTTGACAGGTTTGATTCTCCAGGGTTCTTCAGAGATCAGACTTACAGATTCCAAAGGCTAGACCGTCCCATTTACCAACGGCTGACGATCCTCCTGAGCAGCCTACCAAGGCTGGGTCCACCGGAGGCTAGGTAGGCTGGGTCCTCCGAAGTACGCAGCCTGCAAATTGAGACGCAGCTAGAGTATCCCGCATTCTAGATTTTTGGAACATAAACACCTCTTATAAAAACAAGCACCTGCTGAAAATTTGAAGCTGTTAGCTCTTTCAATGTAAGAAATACAGGGGGATACGAAAAATATCGGGGTTAGCC